CTCGACCTCTTCCTAAGAAAATGAGTAAAAATGATGAATTAACCTTTATTATGACCCTATTTCATTTTACTAAATGTAGAAATATACTTTTATATTTCAACATTTATATAAATAACAGCATTAAAAAACTACGTTTATGAAACATTTAAGGTTGCCACAAGGTTTCAATTTTTTTTTTAGCCAACGTTTCGTACAATACGTTTTAGAAACTTATTTACATCCACACAAAATTACGCATCTGATGCATGAAAACAAACGTTGCCCATACTTATCAACACTTTCCAGATACGTTGTGACAACCTAAAATTGTTTCCTGGGAAATTACGAGACGGGTGACACACAAAGAATGAGACGGGTGACACAAAATACAAGACGGGTGACACACAAAGAATGAGACGGGTGACACAAAATACAAGACAGGTGACACACAAAGCCCGAGACGGGTGACACACAAAGAATGAGACGGGTGACACAAAATACAAGACAGGTGACACACAAAGTACGAGACGGGTGACACACAAATCCCAAGATGATGACGGGTGATACACAAAGTACGAAACGGGTGACACACAAATCCCAAGATGATGACGGGTGATACACGAAGCCCGAGACGGATGACACACAAAGTACGAAACAGGTGACACAAATACCGAGACGGGTGACACAGTGTACGAGACAGGTGACACACAAACCCCGAGATGGGTGACACACAAAGCCCAAGACGGGTGACACACAAAGTACGAGACGGGTGACACACAAAGCCCAAGACGGGTGACACACAAAGTACGAGACGGGTGACACACAGTGTACAAGACGGGTGACACACAGTGTACAAGACGGGTGACGCACAATGTAAGAGACGGGTGACACAATGTACGAGACGGGTGACACACAGTGTACAAGACGGGTGACACACAGTGTACAAGACGGGTGACACACAATGTACAAGACGGGTGACACACAGTGTACGAGACGGGTGACGCACAATGTAAGAGACGGGTGACACAATGTACGAGACGGGTGACACACAGTGTACAAGACGGGTGACACAGTGTACAAGACGGGTGACACACAATGTACAAGACGGGTGACACACAGTGTACGAGACGGGTGACACACAAAGCTCAAGACGGGTGACACATAAAGTACGAGACGGGTGACACACAGTGTACGAGACGGGTGACACACAATGTACAAGACGGGTGACACACAGTGTACAAGACGGGTGACACACAGTGTACAAGACGGGTGACACACAGTGTACAAGACGGGTGACACACAGTGTACAAGACGGGTGACACACAAAGCTCAAGACGGGTGAAACACAGTGTACGAGACGGGTGACACACAAAGCTCAAGACGGGTGACACACAAAGTACGAGACGGGTGACACACAAAGTACGAGACGGGTGACACACAAAGTACGAGACGGGTGACACACAATGTACAAGACGGGTGACACACAATGTACGAGACGGGTGACACACAATGTACGAGACGGGTGACACACAATGTACGAGACGGGTGACACAATGTACGAGACGGGTGACACACAGTGTACAAGACGGGTGACACACAAAGTACGAGACGGGTGACACACAATGTACGAGACGGGTGACACAATGTACGAGACGGGTGACACACAATGTACGAGACGGGTGACACACAGTGTACAAGACGGGTGACACACAAAGTACGAGACGGGTGACACACAATGTACGAGACGGGTGACACACAAAGTACGAGACGGGTGACACACAGTGTACAAGACGGGTGACACACAGTGTACAAGACGGGTGACACACAAAGTACGAGACGGGTGACACACAAAGTCCAAGACGGGTGACACACAAAGTACGAGACGGGTGACGCACAAAGTACGAGACAGGTGACACACAAAGTCCAAGACGGGTGACACACAAAGTACGAGACGGGTGACACACAAAGCACAAGACGGGTGACACACAAAGTACGAGACGGGTGACACACAGTGTACAAGACGGGTGACACACAGTGTACGAGACGGGTGACACACAAAGTACGAGACGGGTGACACACATAGCACGAGACGGGTGACACACAGTGTACAAGACGGGTGACACACAAAGTACGAGACGGGTGACACACAGTGTACGAGACGGGTGACAGACAAAGTACGAGACGGGTGACACACAGTGTACAAGACGGGTGACACACAAAGCCCAAGACGGGTAACACACAATGTACGAGACGGGTGACACACAAAGTCCAAGACGGGTGACACACAGTGTACAAGACGGGTGACACACAGTGTACGAGACGGGTGACACACAAAGTACGAGACGGGTGACACACAATGTACGAGACGGGTGACACACAATGTACAAGACGGGTGACACACAGTGTACGAGACGGGTGACACACAGTGTACAAGACGGGTGACACACAAAGTACGAGACGGGTGACACACAATGTACGAGACGGGTGACACACAATGTACGAGACGGGTGACACACAATGTACAAGACGGGTGACACACAGTGTACGAGACGGGTGACACACAGAGTACGAGACGGGTGACACACAAAGTCCAAGACGGGTGACGCACAAAGTACGAGACGGGTGACACACAAAGTACGAGACGGGTGACACACAGTGTACAAGACGGGTGACACACAAAGTACGAGACGGGTGACACACAGTGTACAAGACGGGTGACACACAATGTACGAGACGGGTGACACACAGTGTACAAGACGGGTGACACACAGTGTACAAGACGGGTGACACACAAAGTACGAGACGGGTGACACACAAAGCACGAGACGGGTGACACACAGTGTACAAGACGGGTGACACACAAAGTACGAGACGGGTGACACACAGTGTACTAGACGGGTGACAGACAAAGTACGAGACGGGTGACACACAGTGTACAAGACGGGTGACACACAAAGCCCAAGACGGGTAACACACAATGTACGAGACGGGTGACACACAAAGTCCAAGACGGGTGACACACAGTGTACAAGACGGGTGACAGACAATGTACGAGACGGGTGACACACAAAGTCCAAGACGGGTGACACACAAAGTACGAGACGGGTGACACACAAAGTCCAAGACGGGTGACACACAAAGTACGAGACGGGTGACACACAAAGTCCAAGACGGGTGACACACAAAGTACGAGACGGGTGACACACAAAGTCCAAGACGGGTGACACACAAAGTACGAGACGGGTGACACACAGTGTACGAGACGGGTGACACACAAAGTACGAGACGGGTGACACACAAAGTCCAAGACGGGTGACACACAAAGTACGAGACGGGTGACACACAAAGTACGAGACGGGTGACACACAAAGTACGAGACGGGTGACACACAAAGTACGAGACGGGTGACACACAAACCCCGAGACGGGTGACACACAAAGCACAAGACGGGTGTCACACAAAGTACGAGACGGGTGACACACAGTGTACAAGACGGGTGACACACAATGTACGAGACGGGTGACACACAAAGTACGATACGGGTGACACACAGTGTACGAGACGGGTGACACACAAAGTACGAGACGGGTGACACACAAAGTACGAGACGGGTGACACACAATGTACAAGACGGGTGACACACAAAGTACGAGACGGGTGACACACAATGTACGAGACGGGTGACACACAATGTACGAGACGGGTGACACACAAAGTACGAGACGGGTGACACACAAAGTACGAGACGGGTGACACACAAAGTACGAGACGGGTGACACACAAAGTACGAGACGGGTGACACACAAAGTACGAGACGGGTGACACACAAAGTACGAGACGGGTGACACACAGTGTACAAGACGGGTGACACACAATGTACGAGACGGGTGACACACAAAGTACGAGACGGGTGACACACAATGTACGAGACGGGTGACACACAAAGTACGAGACGGGTGACACACAGTGTACGAGACGGGTGACACACAAAGTACGAGACGGGTGACACACAAAGTACGAGACGGGTGACACACAATGTACAAGACGGGTGACACACAATGTACGAGACGGGTGACACACAGTGTACGAGACGGGTGACACACAATGTACAAGACGGGTGACACACAAAGTACGAGACGGGTGACACACAATGTACGAGACGGGTGACACACAAAGTACGAGACGGGTGGCATACAATGTACGAGACGGGTGACACACAATGTACGAGACGGGTGACACACAGTGTACAAGACGGGTGACAGACAATGTACGAGACGGGTGACACACAAAGTACGAGACGGGTGACACACAAAGTACGAGACGGGTGACACACAAAGTACGAGACGGGTGACACACAAAGTACGAGACGGGTGACACACAGTGTACGAGACGGGTGACTCAACTCGAAGCATGAGTTCAACGTTCACAAATCTATACAACAAAACCCAGGCAAACAAGAAATATAATCCCATCCCACGAAGATCAAAGTTCTCTTACTAAAGCCGCCAGCTTAACACTTACATGTAATGAAATTTTAAACTTACTTCAGCCAAAAGTTCTTCACGCCTAAGATGGCGGCGGCGTGTTCCCAGAGCCACAGTGAAGCCGGGTCTAATTACTACACCCGCGAGCTGTGTGGATCACTCTCACACGTGCCTGTAAGTGTTGGGCAAGCCTGGCTCACCTGGCTCACTTGGCTCACCTGGCTCACCTGGCTCATCTGGCTCACCTGGCTCACTGGCTCACTGGCTCACCTGGCTCACTTGGCTCACTGGCTCACCTGGCTCACTTGGTTCAAATGACTTACATGGCTCACCTGGCTCACATGGCTCACCTAGTTCACTTGGCTCATCTGGCTCACCTGGTTCACATGGCTCACCTGGCTCACATGGCTCACTTGGTTCACCCGGCTCACTTGGCTCACCTGGCTCACCTGGCTCATCTGGCTCACCTGACTCACTGGCTCAACTAGCTAACCTGGCTCACTGGCTCACCTGGCACACTTGGCTCACTTGGCTCACATGGCTCACCTGGCTCACTTGGCTCACATGGATCACCTGGCTCACATGGCACACTTGGCCCACTTGGCTCACCTTTCTCACCTGGCTCTCCTGGCTCGCTTGGCTCACCTGGCTCACTTGGCTCACATGGCTCACCTGGCTCACCTGGCTCGCTTGGCTCACATGGCTCACCTGGCTCGCTTGGCTCACCTGGCTCACTTGGCTCACATGGCTCACCTGGCTCACCTGGCTCATCTTTCTCACCTGGCTCACCTGGCTCACTGGGCTCGCCTGGCTCACTGGGCTCGCCTGGCTCACTTGGTTCAAGTTGCTCACCTGGCTCACTTGGCTCAGCTGGCTCACTTCGCTCACCTGGCCTCCTGGCTCTCCTGGCCCATGTCGCTCACTTGGCTCACCTAGCTCACGTGGCTCACCTGGCTCACTTGGCTCACCTTGCTCACCTGGCTCACTTGGCTCACCTGGCACACTTGGCTCACTTGGCTCACCTGGCTCACCTGGCTCACATGGCTCACCTGGCTCACTTGGCTCACATGGCACACTTGGCTCACTTGGCTCACCTGGCTCACCTGGCTCGGCTCACCTGGCTCACATGGCACACTGGCTCACTTGGCTCACACCTGGCTCTCCTGGCTCGCTTGGCTCATCTGGCTCACTTGGCTCACATGGCTCACCTGGCTCACCTGACTCGCTTGGCTTACATGGCTCACCTGGCTCACCTGGCTCGCTTGGCTCACCTGGCTCACTTGGCTCACATGGCTCACCTGGCTCACCTGGCTCATCTTTCTCACCTGGCTCACTGGGCTCGCTTGGCTCACTGGGCTCGCCTGGCTCACTGGGCTCGCCTGGCTCACTTGGTTCAAGTTGCTCACCTGGCTCACTTGGCTCAGCTGGCTCACTTCGCTCACCTGGCCTCCTGGCTCTCCTGGCCCATGTCGCTCACTTGGCTCACCTGGCTCACGTGGCTCACCTGGCTCACTTGGCTCACCTGGCTCACTTGGCTCCCCTGGCTCACTTGGCTCACTTGGCTCACCTGACCACCTGGCTCAACTGGCCCACCTGGCTCACTTGGCTCACCTGGCTCACTTTACTCACTTGGCTCACCTGGCTTACTTAGCTCACTTGGCTCACCTGTCTCACTTGGCTCACCTGCCTCACTTGGCTCAACTGGCTCTCTTGGCTCACCTGGCTCAACTGGCTCACCGGGCTCACTTGGCTCACCTGACCACCTGGCTCAGCTGGCCCCCTTGGCTCACTTGGCTCACCTGCCTCACTTGGCTTACCTGGCTCACTTGGCTCACTTGGCTCACCTGGCTCACTTGGCTCACCTGGCTCACTTGGTTGCCTTGGTTCACTTGGCTCACCTGGCTCACCTGGCTCACTTGGCTCACCTGGCTCACTTCAGTCACGTGGATACCTGACCACCTGGCTCACCTGGCCCACCTGCCTCACTTGGCTCACCTTGCTCACTTGGCTCACCTGGCTCACCTGTCCCACTTGGCTCACCTGGCTCACTTTACTCACTTGGCTCACCTGACTCACTTGACTCACCTGGCTCACCTGGCTCACTTGGCTCACCTGGCTCACCTGGCTCACTTGGCACACCTGGCTCACTTGGCTCACATGGCTCACCTGGCTCACTTGGCTCACCTGGCTCACTTGGCTCACCTGGCTCACTTGGCACACCTGGCTCACTTGGCTCACCTGGCTCACATGGTTGCCTTGGTTCACTTGGCTCACCTGGCTCACCTGGCTCACTTGGCTCACCTGGCTCACTTCAGTCACTTGGATCACCTGACCACCTGGCTCACCTGGCCCACCTGCCTCACTTGGCTCACCTGGCTCACTTGGCTCACCTGGCTCACCTGGCTCACTTGGCTCACCTGGCTCACTTGGCACACCTGGCTCACTTGGCTCACTTGACTCACCTGGCTCACCTGGCTCACTTGGCTCACCTGGCTCACCTAGCTCACTTGGCTCACCTGGCTCACCTGGCTCACTTGGCTCACCTGGCTCACTTGGCACACCTGGCTCACTTGGCTCACTTGACTCACCTGGCTCACCTGGCTCACTTGACTCACCTGGCTCACCTGGCTCACTTGACTCACCTGGCTCACCTGGCTCACTTGGCTCACCTGGCTCACCTGGCTCACTTGGCTAACCTGGCTCACTTGGCACACCTGGCTCACTTGGCTCACTTGACTCACCTGGCTCACTTGACTCACCTAGCTCACCTGGCTCACTTGGCTCACCTGGCTCACTTGGCTCACCTGGCTCACTTGGCTCACTTGACTCACCTGGCTCACTTGACTCACTTGGCTCACTTGGCTCACCTGGCTCACTTGGCTCACCTGGCTCACTTGGCTCACCTGGCTCACTTGGCTCACCTGGCTCACTTGGCTCACTTGACTCACCTGACTCTCCTGGCTCACTTGGCTCACCTGGCTCACTTTACTCACTTGGCTCACCTGGCTCACTTGACTCACCTATCTCACCTGGCTCACTTGGCTCACCTGGCTCACTTGGCTCACCTGGCTCACTTGGCTCACCTGGCTCACTTGGCTCACTTGACTCACCTGGCTCTCCTGGCTCACTTGGCTCACCTGGCTCACTTTACTCACTTGGCTCACCTGGCTCACTTGACTCACCTATCTCACCTGGCTCACTTGGCTCACCTGGCTCACCTGGCTCACTTGGCTCACTTGGCTCACTTGACTCACCTGGCTCACCTGGCTCACTTGGCTCACCTGGCTCACCTGGCTCACTTGGCTCACCTGGCTCACTTGGCACACCTGGCTCACTTGGCTCACTTGACTCACCTGGCTCACCTGGCTCACTTGGCTCACCTGGCTCATTTGGTTGCCTTGGTTCACTTGGCTCACCTGGCTCACTTGGCTCACCTGGCTCACTTCAGTCATGTGGATCACCTGACCACCTGGCTCACCTGGCCCACCTGCCTCACTTGGCTCACCTGGCTCACTTGGCTCACCTGGCTCACTTGGCACACCTGGCTCACTTGACTCACCTGGCTCACTTGGCTCACTTGGCTCACCTGGCTCACTTGGCTCACCTGGCTCACCTGTCCCATTTGGCTCACCTGGCTCACTTTACTCACTTGGCTCACCTGGCTCACTTGACTCACCTGGCTCACTTGGCTCACTTGGCTCACCTGGCTCACCTGGCTCACTTGGCTCACTTGGCACACCTGGCTCACTTGGCTCACTTGACTCACCTGGCTTACCTGGCTCACTTGGCTCACCTGGCTCACCTGGCTCACTTGGCTCACCTGGCTCACTTGGCACACCTGGCTCACTTTACTCACTTGGCCACCTCAGGAGAGCGTGTAAGATGTGAACGCCACTTCATGAGAGCATGTAGGGTGTGAACGCCACCTCAGGAGGCCGTGTTGGATGTGAACGCCACCTCAGGAGAGCGTGTAGGATGTGAACGCCACCTCAGGAGAGCGTGTAGGATGTGAACGCCACTTCATGAGAGCATGTAGGGTGCGAACACCACCTCAGGAGAGCGTGTAGGATGTGAACGCCACCTCAGGAGAGCATGTAGGGTGTGAATGCCACCTCAGGAGGCCGTGTGGGATGTGAACGCCACTTCAGGTGTGTTACGGACTCGAGTCCATCGTCGGAGCACGGAGCTGTGACAACAACGCCATCTGTGAGTCCGCTACCGAAACCCCCCTCCAAATGGACGACGCCATCTAGTGATGACGAAAGACGCCGGCAATACGTGCTGGATTTCCGTCTTAATTGGCTTGTGGAATAGCCGCTGCTGACCTCTGGTGAGGTGGCGCTTAGACAGCAACGCCATCAATGGAGTGTAGAGGTGGACGTTTGTGTCTAAGATTGTAAGTCAGGTTCCCTAGAGCTTCCAAGTATTAATGACGTATCTGATTACAGAGTCGACCTGGAACTGCTGTGTTGGACGATGGATCAGTCTACCCAAGGCAGCCAAAGTCTCTTCACCTGTCTGCTTTGAAGAAGCTGTGAGTCACCCCTGCACGAACTCTGTTGAGAGTATTAGCCTGCCTGTGGCGTGGCAGTGTCGGGAATCGCTTTGTCCGGGGCTGGCTGGTGGAAGAGACTAGCCACTGAGGTGCTTAGTGAGGAGAGTGATCAGCGGGTCATACGAGGCTCCTGCCTAGGGCTCGCAACCCTAGTATCGGTCGTGGAGTGGCCTACACAGCGGAGCTGATCGGTACCTGCCAGCTACAGGCTGGATTGTGGTTGAAGGCCTCCACGACGAAGCACCCAGTGGGACTGTGATTTGGCTGGCCTGTGGCCAGGGTAGATTCGTCATAGAGTCATATTGGAGTCATCGTGGGCCACGGAAGAAGGAACCAGGGCTACCCAGAGTGAGCACCGTTGAGCATCCAGTGTCTTCGGAGGAAGACGAACCTGTACATAATTGTGTAGTTATAACCCCCCGCGTGTGACTGTTATTTATTTATACATGGTGGTGGAAATATATATCAGAAAAACTGGAACATTTGTATCCCTCCCCCTTTAATTTTACTTGCGTTACGGAACACACCCCTTGAAAACCTCTACTAACTTGGGGCCGGATTCCCAAACTCTACTAGCCATCAGAGAAGAACCCGGTTGCGTCCCAGTAGGGCCATAACAAGGTGAAAGTGAGGGATATTAATATTATGATTACAATGGTAATTCACCGCTGCCACAATTGAAACATCTAGCCCAGTCGACCTTTGTTGGTGAACCATCACCAAGTGTCACGTGTTCAACCATCACCAAGTGTCACGTGTTTAACCATCACCAAGTGTCACGTGTTTAACCATCACCAAGTGTCACGTGTTCAACCATCACCAAGTGTCACGTGTTCAACCATCACCAAGTGTCACGTGTTCAACCATCACCAAGTGTCACGTGTTCAACCATCACCAAGTGTCACGTGTTTAACCATCACCAAGTGTCACGTGTTTAACCATCACCAAGTGTCACGTGTTCAACCACCACCAAGTTTCACGTGTTCAACCATCACCAAGTGTCACGTGTTCAACCATCACCAAGTGTCACGTGTTTAACCATCACCAAGTGTCACGTGTTCAACCATCACCAAGTGTCAATACAGAGTAACTCTGCTAATTCAGAGTAACCCTTCAGGTCTGTAATAATTGTGAAACAAAAGCCTCGGAGAACTGGCCGAGCCTGTCCTTACAGCAGATCCCCGAGAACTGGCCGAGCCTGCCCTTACAGCAGATCCCCGAGAACTGGCCGAGCCTGCCCTTACAGCAGATCCCCAAGAACTGGCCGAGCCTGTCCTTACAGCAGATCCCCGAGAACTGGCCGAGCCTGCCCTTACAGCAGATCCCCGAGAACTGGCCGAGCCTGCCCTTACAGCAGATCCCCAAGAACTGGCCGAGCCTG